AAATGTTGTGAAATGCACAAGCACCGTGGTGCTCAAATATCGTGGGGCAGTGGACTTCGCAAATTCGCCAGTGAAACTAAGAGCAACTAGTCAATGCGGCTTTTCAGAATGAAATCCGCTGAAAAACTAGCTAAAATATTTGCTTTTTCTACCGTGAGTTATGTAACGGTAGAAGTAGTCTTTATTAACCTTGATTATTATTTCATTTTTGTTGTTGACGCTGTTGATTACTGAACATTCAGTCACAAATTTTCGAGTTTCTTGATTTAAAACATTTTTAGGAAGTTGCATTTTTGGCAATAAAGTTACTGCTGAACCATATTCCTTGTGGACCGAGTAAGTGGTACTACATACGATTTGTCTCAGTGATTTAGTTCGAGCGTTGGTATCGGCAGGATTTGTTTGTTTGTTTGTTGACGCAATCCCTCAGGAAAATTTAAGTTGTGATACCCTCTGTATCTGCAACTTTTCAACACCTGCTGCAAGGCACCAGTTGCTGCATCACAGAAGGAAATAATCCTCTCCAAAAGCAATCCTATCATTGAATGTGGTACCATTGAGCGTAGTTCGCCCATGCTGCACGCGGCCTACTGATCGACAACTGCCGTGTTTCGGCTCCCACAGCAGCTAACGGTTTGCAGCAGACAAACCAGTGTGTCTAACATTGCCAACCATTCCCTAATCGTCAAACATCTAGTAAGGTCACCTCTGCCCGGAAGGGAATAATCAGTTATTAGTTTTCTTGATATTTAACCTTCATTGTGCGTCGAATACGGCTGTGTACTTCAAGATCCTTCGAAAGAGCAACTGTCTTTATTTCTTGCAGCAACAATGACCTGACAGAGACTAGGTACAGGTGGATTTTCATGGGAAGAGTAACACGTTTTCAAGCTAGAATTTTTGACATGTTTTCAAGAGTAAGGGAGGCTAAATTAATCCTACTGTTTAACTTCGGCTGTCTAGAACTGTCAATGGAGAAAATGGAACTGAAATACTTAAATTGGTTAAGCCTCACTTCGCGTTTTTACTTTTAGTCAGGTGTGGACGAATGGTTGCCCATAAACTTTTGAATTCCGTCTGTTAAGGAAGAAGTAGACTTTCGCATCTGTGCTGCATTAAAAAGCCGTTAGATGACACAGCCCGCTTCCCATGCAACTCACCAGGACAAAATCAACTTCGTACTCAAGAGGAAAAATTGTTCTGTCAAGACGGAGCTAAACGTCGCTGACCTTTGCTTTGTTGCTATAGAGAACTATGTTCATTACGATGCCAAATTCGCGCTTGCAGTTGACAAAAAAGTTGGTGGAGTTCTTATGCCAAAAAATAAATTTCCTTTATTTGTGCAGTAGCTTTCTTCGAAGTACTAGACGGTGCTTTGTGCAACCATCATTTCGGACGGATTTCTTCATTAACTATTAAAATAATTAATGAGACAAATGTTGAATAATTTATCTTAAGTTGAACATCATTAAATGATATGCAAATTACTTGCTCTAAAAGTCAAAATAAACAGAGATACGGTTTTCATTTAAAAACCATTCATGCCATGTGTTCAGTCAGTTGGTATAATGCCTGATGTTAAGCTTATGGAGCATTATGCAGTTCTTTTAGTAGACCATTCAAACTGCGTATATTTTTTCCGAAGGTGAAAATCGATTGGCCAGCTTTCCAAAAGTGGCTGGCATCTAACGGCGAATATGTCGACGTTAAGAAAGGTACGAGAATTCAATATTGCCAAGTTGTATCTTTAAAACAGTTGACGTATGTTTTAAAATAATTTTCTTTTCACTTAATATTCGTTTCTGATGTTACTTGGAACTTAAATGATGTTCAAGTTGATGTCAGTGTCACGAAGAAATGGCAAAAGTGATTTTATATTTCAGTGTCAAGAACTTAAACCTAATTCTGCGATACCATAACTGGTGTTAAACCATGGTCATGTACTGTTCCGCTTAATCACTGCAAGTCAGGTAAAAATATTTTAGGATTAAATATTAATTTCTTGTTTTAAGGCGCACCATTGTATTGAGAAATGGGGTGTTTGTGATTGCCTTCATTTTTTCTTGCACAAACAGTAGGACTGCCAGCAAATCTTGTTAATCACGTCTCATAAATAATTTCCATCCGTATATATTATGTATATTGTGCTATATGTATTTCTTTGTATGTTGACTTTTCAGACTAGCATTTCAAATCAGAATATCTGTCAGAATAGTGACCTTCGTCAATAGAGATTGCTTGAAATACGCCCAAGGAAAAGTTTTAGTGGCCTTTGTTAAAGTTATTAATGGTTGACTAAGAAAGGTTCTAATCTGCTCCATTCTTGAGGCAAAAACTTTTAACCACGAAAAAGCTATATTTTTAAAGGGTGGTAGGTAAAAAAGGCTTGCAGTTCTAAGAACAGCTAAGCGAAATTAAAACAAACGGTATTTCGATTTGCAGCATTCAGTGCTATGGGATGCAAGAATACATCGTTCTCAGTTTAGAAGAGATGTATGCAGGAATTCTTTCTGCTGTCAAGGTAAAAGGAAATGCATCTTAGTACTTCCTACTAACTGTGCAATTTGTCAAGAAGATATACGGCTCTGATTCAACGTTATTCTCGAATTTCTCTGTTGAAACAGTGCTAATCGTAGCAAGTACGAAGGTGCTATTTTAGAAAAAGGGCGCCGTTGAAGATGTATGGTTGAAGATCTTGCTCGCTTTGAACACTCAGAAAATATTGTTCCGCTGAATAGTGATCTGCTCTACTTAATTCTGCTATCGGTTGACACAAGAGAAAGTAGGAAATTACATTACAACTTTAATGGAGACGAAAAGATTAAAGATTTGACAGTAGAAGTACGAGGGGTCTCAAGAGCATGTTTTTGGCGCCTGTGCTGAGACCCTAGGAGTCATAAGCTCGAAACTGGCAGAAGCAGTTGAAGATATCGGCGCTCTTGTGTCTGTCAGCAACCGCGCATGACACATCTGAATCCAGCATCATTCAAGAATCACAAATGCCTTCCTCAGGAAGAACAGGTTGAGTGTCTCCACATTAAGCAAAGAAGCAGAGTCGAAGAGCTCCACAGTCGTTTAAAGTTGTACCTCGAAATTTAGGAATCTCGAAGAGGTGCTCCGTTGGGCAACAGCTATTGTATATAAAAGTGATACAGAAACTGATCACATCCACCACTGATGAAAATTTCAGCATTCGAAGGCCGAATAGTAGATTGTTTAAAAATTGAATTCATTTATTGGAGAGGCTTTTTATGACGATGACGCCATAGAATGTGGCAAGGAAAGCAGAGGGAAGTCTCAGTAGTATGAGAGAAGATCTTTGGGTTTGCAAAAATCACGCAGTGGTGTGAGTCAGACAAAGGATTAAATTTTTCATATTATAGCGATTATTTGCGTTCATGAAAATACCATCCAGTTTGCGACTTGGACGGGTGGTAAACTTTACAATATCAGGTATGCCATTGTGTTTCAGACATATGCAGTTGTGACGATTAAAGTTTCCCGTGACTACCAGAAGGCTATCAGCCCATGAACAGGTGAAGTGTGAAGTGAAAATATCTTTAAAACTGT